AAGTTGTGCTGGAAAACAGACTTCAGCTACTTCTGTTTCTGCATGAGTATGGCAAAAATCTCTATTGCAGTATTATTGAAATGCCTTAGTTCTCTGCTCTTCTCTTTTAGTGGATAAAATGTCATTTTTGATGATGGAGAATCCTGACCTGTCTTCAGTGTTTTGTCAGATGAATAGAAACCCTTGCCTGCAGTTCAGTTCCAGCAGTGGTTTAGTAATAGTGTTGGTTTTTACTAATTTTTCAGTACTTAAAGGTTTTTCATTGCTTCAGTCTCAAGTGTATGTCAAAGTAGTAATTGGCCTAAATATCTCCGAGGGATGCTCAACCCCAATCTCAGGGATGGGGAGAACAGTTTTGTGTCAAGATTGACAAAAGTGCTAATACTAACTTAAAAAAAAAAAAAAAAAAAAAAAAAACCACCAAAAAACCTACCACCACCATACAAGTGTCATAGGTTTTGAGTTCTCTGTTTTTTGGCTTTTACTTCTGATGATGTCCAGAGGAAAGTCCCAGAGGAGAGATCCCATGGCTTTTGAGCTTACTAAAGCTTGAGTCAGGCTATGTAAGGATTTTTCTTTTAATGCATAATTTTGAAAACTTAACTGTACCAGACATAGCAGAGGAAATGCAGCATTTCTCAGTTTCTGGGTTGGATCATGTTAGATGCCATAAATATTTTAGATTAATTTGCTGATAAGCCTCTATACTTTCTTCAAATATATTTTTTGTAAATAGTATTTACAACTCAACATTTATTAACATGTATAATTGTAAAATCTTTCAAATTCAGTCCTCAATTTTTAGCATTCATATTCTGTCTTGATATTGTCTTTTGTTTATATATGAGTCTAGTAGTTGGAGTTTACTGAGTGTTGCTTTCAGAGCTCGTGTTATAAAATTGTTCCTGACATCAAGTTAGGACTTCATTGCTTTCTTATCTGCCTGTTTTCTTCTTGAAGATCAGGTAAGAAATTCTGTAAATTATGGCTGGTGGCATCTTTGTAAGGAGTGTGGTGCTTCTGTAGTCTCCTCGGTATTTGACTGGATTCATTGATGTTTAGTTACACTTAGGAAATTGATCTTAGTGTTACAGCCCTTTGCAAGATACAGTAGAACCTGAGATTTTTTTTTCCTTACTGTTGCTGAACAAATTAAAATTCCTTTGATCTCAGTAACTTAAAGCAGGACAGTTACACCTCCTGGTCTTCCCATATTCTGATTTCTAGGTTTATTTTGGTTTGTCAGTGGTACCAGCAGAGTCTTCCTAGTGTCCATCTCATCTGCTCAGTGGTTAGAGCAGGGATAATCCAACAATGCAATGAAAAGCCTGAGGGGATGTCGTGGTTTGACCAGGAAGTGAGGTTTTGGGAAGAGGGGAATGGGAAGGTCCTTGGGAATTTGAATCTGCCTTCTAACTAGATTGTAACTCTAACTGGTCATGTCATTTACCCTGTGGAGCAAGTCATATATTTTAGATTATTTCTTTCACCTGTTGTCTCCACAATTATATATTCTTACCACAAACCCTGAATCTTAACTTTTCTGTAAATGAAGAAGTTGAGACCACTGACAGCGTCATCATTAGAACATTCCAGGTGTCTTAAAGACTGGTAACTGAGTTGGAGCTGTACAGAATTTCACAGAGTAATTAAGTGCCCTTCCCCCCATCTCTTTTATGAAAACAAGCAACTGGAAAGGCAGGGATTAACACTATTGCCTCTATGTGTGGCGAGATAGTTTTCCTGGACATAACCTCAGTGTCAGTGGAGCCTGTACAGCCTCTTGCCTCTTAGGAAAGAATCTGGGATTTGTAAATTGCTTCACATACAGGAGGAGATTACTTTTGAAGTGTCTCCATGCCTTTACAGTCTGATTATGTTAGACTTTAGCCTGTTATTTTAACCTTTTTTTCTTGCTCAGAGGTGCTGAACTTAGTCTTTCACTGAAAAGAGCTTTTTATATTATAATGTGCTTCCTAATTTACTCCTTTCTTCTGAAAGCTTACTGTTAACTATGAAAAGGTAAAATGTATTCTTATATGAGTCCCTAGCCAGGTTTTTTGTCAGTAACCTAAAATTTAGCAGCTGAAGAGCATATAGTGAGATGCTGGGTAGTTGTATTGATCAATGGTCGGACTCAGCAAGGGAGCTCCTTTAATCCTGGACAGATGCTGAGCAGCCCACACTGGGCTTCAAGAGCCTTCATGTCTAGCGAGGCCAGAGGCAAGGCAGGTGTGTGTTTTCCTTCTAATAGTAGTGGAAAGAGTTATCTCATCCATCTGTGAAGTGCCTGAATGTTCTTTTGGGTGAAAACTCTTTAAAATCCAGAAGCATTTCCCTATGGAGCGCTTTCAATTGCCTTACATGTTTCCTCCTGCTTGTCTTTTTACCTTGCTTTGAAGGCCACTTTTCTAAAACTGCTTTCAATTTAATATTTTCATTTTAATTACTCTCACAAATTGCTGTTTCTTTACATTGTGTTCCAAGTATGAAGTTCAGTTGTTAATGTGAGGTCAGTGTATTCTGCAGATGACTTTTTGTCTCTAGACTCTTAGAGAAGACATAGGAGGTATCTTCCTTCTGGCAGTTGATCAGTAAATACAAAAACATTTATTTACTTGTAAAGGGTAGAAATGTAATACTCTATTATATGTTTTTCTCTGTGCATCTCTGTGCCAGGTCTTAATTAACCAAATAGAAAATACACTGATATACTCTTATGCCATTTGTTTTTCCAATGTCATCACAAGTCAGTTTCCTTTCTAGTTCTCAGTTTAGTGTCATGTTCTCACCAAAGCTGCTGATAAATGAGATTATGGATTAAAATTAGAAGTTTTTATTTGGATCATTTGACTTAATAAATAAAAAAAAAAAAATCTTCCATGCTGCCAATGCTGAACATGGTTTCAATAAGCATGTACTTTATTATGTATTTCTAAATAGAAGTTTTATTGAAAGTCTTGTGAGAAACTACAAGGTATGATTAATTCATGCTCTGTAAAATAGAAAATCTTCAGTCTTTGGGTCTGAATTGGTATGAGGATACTAGGAAATACAGAGGCTTAAATTTCAAGTCTGTATTTTTACTGTATGCTAATCATAGATACTTCTAATTTTTCAGAGGGAAAAAGGTTTTTGTCAAATATTAATTTCTAACTTTCTTAATGAATGGTAATTATGTATATGGATATAGGAACAACATCTTAGTGCATCTCAACCCTAAAAATATTGGTGGATTTTGAAAAGGCAAATTCTGGGGGTTTAGACAAAATGAGTGATTGCCTCTTGGTTACTGTATTACCATCTTGTTTACTAACCTCTTTCAACACAATGGCAGTAATTGTTTCATCTTTCCTTTTGTAGACAAGCGTCATAACGTCTCCTGATTTTAGGTGCAAGTAATGTAGTTTTTCCCCTCTTACTTTCTCACAAGATGTTTCTTCCACTATGGTTTTGTTTCAGTCCATGGAAAATAACCATTTCCTGTGATTGTTGTTCCCTCAACTACTGTTCCATTATTAAAGAAATAAGGATGGCACCTTGTGAGAGTGCTTAAGAATTTTGTAACTCTATTTAGAGTATATAGGCTAGGAAAAATTTTTTGGGATATGAGCCTGCAAATCACAGGTATTGTAAAGGAGCTTTTTTTCTCTGGTATAAAAGGGAGAAACTAGCTTGGGAGAGGAATGGAGGAGAAGCAGGAAAGGAAATAGATACTCACAGGAAGTTGCAACTAATGGAATTCTTTACTGTGAATCACACTCTAGCTTATTTCCTGGTAAAGAACCCATTCTTTCAAAAATCTGTATTTAACATTTGGTGACAAAAGTGGGATGCTCTCTGAAAATGTGGAGGTAAATGCATTCTCTTGCTTCTTTTAGGATACTTTGGCCTGCTTAGAGAATAAATTGTTTCAGCTTTGAGTGAGGTTTGTCTGTTCTTGATGCAAGAATAAATGCTGAATTGCTGAATCTGTTAAGGGGTAGAAGGAGTTATTATGGTATAAACTCTGTATTATGAAACAGTGTCTCTGGCAGGTGGCTAAAGAGTGCTTTAGTCTGTGGATAGAGAATAGAATAATTTATCTGGACAATTGTGAATTCAGTCTTTAATTTATTTTTCTTACAGTTACATTTGCTTCAAAATTCAGACTTTAACTAGGCATTCTGCGAGGTGCAGACTGAAAAAATGTTTGATGTAAATGAGTGTTTTGTAAGGCCAGCATTCTGCCTTATCTCAGTTATTACATTGATTCTTCTTTAGCCTTTAAATTCAGGATGAATCACTACCTTGTAGTAATGACAATTGGAGCATTTTGCAATTTCTTTAAAACAGAAAAAGTATTTCGCTTCATTTTATAGCCTCTGCATTCAGAATTGCATAACCACTAAAAGTGAAAAGTGGCCTGGTATGAGGCAAAACAGATATTATTATCTTTTTATTCATTTCTTGGCTTTCTGGTACATGAGTACTTTGGGCTATGTGTCATATTCCATACTTGAAAATCCTCTCCTCTGAGGAATGTCACTGTATGTCTCTTTGCCTGTCTTTCTGTTTTAACTGAGTGATATTGTCAAATTTTTCTCCTTCAGTTTTGCCAAGATGTTTTTGAATAGCATTGATGAAAATTGAACACAAATTGTTATTCACTGTGCTGTAAATTGGTAAATCTCTGCTAAGCAAAGGATGCTTTAGTAACTAACGCGTTAGGAAGTCTTGGTTATTTTTGGAGCAGTATATCTGGAAATTATGTAGCTAGATGTGAATGTGCAATATTTGTATAATTGTACATGTTTATAAAGAGGTGGTGGCCTAATTTATAAACAGGTTGATTTTGTTTGCTTTCGATAAACACATGTAGTAATATTATCGTTATATATGGTGACAGTCAAATTCTTTGATTTTTGTCTTTTAGTGAGTCTTAAAGCATGTAAAATAAATCCTGTGGTTCTACATGTGGTATTTCTAATTATTTTTTTAATTCTGCTCTTCTCCAACAGGAAGGAACTGGAGACATTCAAAGGTAAATTCTATTTTTATTTCCTACTTAAATGTTTGTAAGACTTAACAGTAATTTGTGTATTAAGTGGAACTAGGAAGGAACTTTTGCCCTTCTGCATTTGACAATGTTAATTTTATGTTGACCCAGCAAGCTGTGTATTTTTCATTTTACCTGTTCTTGCTACTGTTTTCTTTGAGGGAGTCCTAAGTGTAGGGAGAACACAGATATTTTGTTGTCTTATCTAGGTTTCAGACATTCCCTTATCTAATTCAAGCCTTTCCCTTGGTGTTCAATTTTTGTATTTAAGGGCTTTTCCTTCAACTAGTTGATGTCTCTTTCAGCACAGATATATTTTTGGCACATGTTGCAGGCTGTTACATGTTAGGTTTTTGTCTGGCTGTTTCCTGGGAATTTTTACAGTATTATGCAAATTTAATTTTTGTAGCTCAACTTGTTGGAAATACTTGATGATATACACAAATATTTGTCCAATATATGATGTAATGGCTGGCAACTCTGTCATGTATTGCTTTATCTCTGGTACATAGATGGAATACAGTCCCATTTTCAGTAAATCTTAAACTGGGGCTTACTCTACCTACTGGCATTAATGTTTGATCAGCTTGAAAATTGCTATTATCTCTTCCTTTGGATAGGATGTGACTGTGGGTTTGTGACTAGTATTTATGAGAATGAAGTTGGGTGCATTGACTTATGTCAATCAATTGTCTCTTGAAATTGAAAGGAGGGATGGAAATTTCTATCAGCTGCACTCCTTTGCCTTTTCAGTTCATTACTGTCTCATCCTTGTGGTGCTACAAAAGGAAAATAACAGTTACAGTAATAGATAAGCAACACAGATTATGTGAAATGTCACTTTTTCTGCAACTTACCAAACCAACCCTTTTGTTGATTGATTTGACAGCTTTCAAGATAGAGCAACTCAATATAAAACAGAAGGTAATGCCAGGCTCCTTCTCATCCAAAGCAAGGCAGCTACCTTGTAGTACGTGGTGCTTGTGAGAACAGTGAATCCTGGTTTTCTGTTTGTATTGATCAAGTGTTTTAAGTGAGTTTCTGGAAGCCAGAAGAGTGGTTTCCAAAGTAATTTTTCTCTAGACCCCTTTTTGTTTTAATAGAGACTTTAATGTTATTTGACAGTAGGTAGTTTACAAAGACAATTATTTTGATGGAAGAGGAATGTGCTAGCTGTGTGGAGTCCTTGAAATTTATACCAAACTAAGCAACTGGCTTTGCAATGGTTATAGAGGCATACAGATTTCCAATATTGGTTATGAAAGACTGGTCTTGGTAGCCAAGAGAAAGCTAGATAAGCATAGAGGGATGCATCGTGGAAAGTGGATATTTAAACATCTGTCAGCCTAATTTGTGTGGGTTTTTGTACAGTGGACTGGTGGACAAGCTTGTACCTGACAGAAGAGAAGGAGTGTAATAGCTAAGGAAATTTCAGAATGGTCTTGTGAATAAGTCTAATTCCTTTCTAGAAGATGACAACAAGAAGGTTAAAAGTAAACAATAGATTGTGTTTTGATTTTGGCAACAACTTTCACTCTTTTGCCTGACATTTCCCAGGAAATTTGGATTAAACTGCTAAAAATCCAGGTGCACAATTGATTGAAAATAGATACTTGGAAGAAATGTTCTTGGGTTTCTGTCTTATTAAATTCTCAGATCCTGGATTTTTTATTGTCAACCCAGATTGTGAAGGAGAAGTACTTGTTATATTGGCTTCAGTCAGTCTTTTTCTGGCCCTTTGGACCTTACATCATTATCTGGCATATCTTTTATCAGCTGGAAATAGGGATAGTAGGAGATTCCTAGTTGTGAAGGATTCATTACATAATGGCAGATATTTTGGTTCTAGGGCAGCTTTGCCCAATCTTACTCAGGGCTCCTACTTGAGTTTTCTGTTTTGAGCTGCTTCCAGGACTCACTAGATTTTGGCAAAAATGATTTGTCACTTGGTTGGCTTTAGTTCCAGTTGATGAAGCACACTGAGATAACTCTGTGGATGTCCATAGGAATCCTGTCCCAGAGGAAGGAAAAAGGCAGCAACAAGGGCAAGCAGTGTGTCTTAAGTTAGCAGTAACACGGTAATCTAAAAGCAAAAGAAGCTAGGAAATATTGGCTCCAACTGAAACATGTTAAGTAGTTGAGTAGATGGTTCTTTACATTTTAATATTGCAAGTATAGGCTACATCCTCAACTAATTTATCTCTGCATAACTGTCTGGAGTGAAATGTCTTCCTCAGCATTCTGTTCATTAAATACCCAGTGCAGGGTCTATAAAGAAGAACTGTTTAAAATGTCTTCTTATACACTTGCATCTTTTGATGCGTTTGCACTTGAAATCATTGTACATTAAAATCTGTTCCAATGGAAAAACCTGAAATGCCATTTTTTTAAATAGTAACTTGTTATTTGTGAATTTGAATACCATATGCTAAAAAGTAATAGCTTCCAGGATATAAAGATGGTAAATGTCTTGCATAAAAATATCTTTCATAAAGATACAAGATAATTTTAGCTGTATATGCAGGAATTAAAGTACCACAAAAAAAATCCTTCAATATGTTTGCTAGAAGAGTTAAAAGAGAGTTGTATGCACTTTTTTCGGTGTCCAGATGCAATTCTCATCTTCACCAGTGATGCATTCTTATGCCTTACTCATGATAGAAAGTAAGTTTTACTGGAATTAAGAAACTGAATGGTCTAGTCTGAGATTCAAATTAGCACAGCACTAGAAACTTGAATGCTGTAATGCATCCCATCAATTGCACAATGAATACAGAAAATGCAAATTTCATGTTGGCATTGACCCTGAGAGTGCAGGTGTGACTCACAAGGCTGCTGAGTAGTTTCACAGACCTCTCAGATCTGTTTTAAAACTTTACTTCCCTGAAGTTTTGTGGATGTGTAAATACAAATAGGTACACAGGTGTAGTCTGCAAATTTGGGAAATCAAGTGTCTGTAACCTTAAAAACATTTTAAGTGTCCTTGTATATACCTAGTAGCTACTTTAACATTGAAGCAAAATTTACACAACCAAGAAATGGAATTATTCCTGGTTTCATTTACAACTTCCCACTGTGTGCCAAGGTACAAAGTGGTAATTCATTGACCTTTTAAATATATTCTTTGAAGATACCAGGTCTCATCCAGAAGGGGCCCTGACAAGGGAATATATATATATATGCCAGGTTGCAGCACTGAAAAGTGTTGAGAATCCACTAACTCTCTTACTCATTGATATTAGTACCTTTATGTAGTATAAGAATAAATAAGAATGTAATACTACTTTAAGAAATTATTAATTACTTTTGTATTTGTCATTGTTTTAGAATTTGTTTCTGCCATTTTCACATTGCTATTGCAGATTGTACTGTATTTCATAGTGAGGAATAGATTTTACTATTCCTCCTTTTACTTTAAGACTTATTTTTACAGGGCCAGACATTCTCCTTTGTTGTTTGCTGTAGCCACAGTGTGCAGGGGCAGGACAAACCTTTCCAGTCTCTCTTCTTTCAACCACAGGGGTTTTCTATTACAGAGTAATTGAAATTGATTATTATTTAATAATCTGTGATGCTGAGAAAGTGAGGGGTAGAAGCTTTCCTGCTTTTTTTTTGGTGTTAAACATCTCTCTCTGAAGTAGGCAGGGAATGACTGTTGGTGTCTTTGTCGACACTGCTGCAGCACTGGCATTTGTGTGTGTGAAGCACGAGGACAGAACATCTCAAAGGTTGTCCAGTTCCTTATCTTTTTTTACAGAGGTCTTTGCTATAAAAGATGATGGTTTTATGAATTGGAAAACATTGGTATGCCATATGAAATAGCCTGCACATTCCTTTCTAGCATGCACCAGCTTCAGTCTTGGGAGAACTGCTTGTTGGAACTGGCTTATGCTCTGTGCTGTCCTGTCTTGGCTGACGCTCATAAAGATGCTAAAACAAGAGTGTTCTGTTCTGAATCTTGGCAATTTCTTGCAATAGTAGAGTTTAGTTTACTTGATATTTGTGTGTGGTTTTGATTTTAGTATTTGATGGGTTGTGCTCTTGCATCGTTTAGGAAGGTATCATTTCCATTTTACAGCTGAGAAACTGGAAATCTGATAACACGTGTGTGGTTATTTGCTCCTGATACTTGAAACCTAGTGCATTTAGGACTGCATTGAGATTCAAATCATTCCATCATCCTTCTAGGCACATCATGCAATTTTTAAAATTTATTTTTTCTTTTTTGAGTTAACATTCCTTTAGTTCCAGAGTAGACAAGATTGTGTAGTAAATAGTTACTGAATACTGTTAATCTCATTAGAACATGGAAGAGTGGAGCAGATAATGGGGTAGGTAATCAGCAGTGAGAGAGTAGGAAAAAAAAAGCTTTAAAAGTAGTAGAACTGCACAATGGTAATAACATATGCTGTTGAGTTTACTTCTAATTTACCCAAATAGGAAGTATGTACATGATAGATTTCAAAACTGTTTGTAAAAGTCCCTTTTTATTAAAAGTTCAGGATGCACTGAGTTTGTTTCTGGAAAGAGAACTAAAGCAGTACAGGCTGTTTGGGGATCAGCAACACAGCACTTTTGGACAATGAAAGGTGGCAGCAACTCTGCAAGGGCAAATACATGCATGGCTTTGGCTACTGAGTCATGCATATTTCTAAGCTTTAACAGGATTAGTTTGATTCAAGCTCAGGGAAACAGGTCATATGAGCATTTTCAGCGCTTGTGTTTACAGTAAAACAAAATATCTTTTCAGCCTTTTGAATCAGAGGTCTCTCCCAAACAAGGCCTGATAAGTTTTAAGAGCTTTGTCAAAATATTCTTTGAGAAACTGACCTATGAAGTAAAGAGGTATTTTTTCTTGCTTTTGCCTTCAAGGTTAAGTCATTGGGTCACATTTGATATGCAGATTTTTTTGGCATCCCTGTTCATGCATCTAAGATGCTGCTGCTGAAATTGCAGTTTTCCAGTCCTTTTGTTAGGAGCTTAAA